TTGAGAAAACATCCCAGCCTAGTCCAGATCAAGTCCATAAGTCTGATATTAGCCCATATGTCCTTTACCAATCTGTAAGTTCCTCTTTTGACTCACGCAACTCATGTAATGACACCGAATGCAGGAAGATCACAGGCCAGTGGGTGGAAAGTCTTGTGGATCCAGTGGTGGTGGAAGCATCTTAACACTGGTGTAGGTCTCCATGTGGCTCCTACAGCTCTAGGGCTCTGGCTTCATCAGAGTGCTTGTCTACATCCACCTGGCTTGTCAGCAGGAATGAGTCACAGCAACAGTGTGTATCTGGCCTCCTGTGAGCTATTTATCTCCATTGCACCTCACAATGAGGTCAAGCTGCAACCTGATTGTCAGGTTAGACTCTACACCTTCCTCAAGTTGACAGTAGATTTTATGTAATTGCCATACCACATTCCTTCCTTTTCCCAAGGTATCTTTCTACATCTTCTTTGTTTGCATGGTTAATGTCTACTTACCCATCCAGAATCAACATTTATTCAAATGTCCAGCATCACCTCCTCCTATAATGTTTTCTTTAGATATTTTTCCATCATTTTTCCTACATAAGCCCATCATAGCACTTAACTGAGGTGAGTGTCCTCTGTTTCCCCTTTTAGAACACAGTTGCACCTTTCAACTCTTAGACAGACCCCCTGACACCTTTTCTAACAAATACATGGTAGGCAACTGATAACAAACTTTCAAATGAAAACTAAATATTAAGAAGGCAAGAAAAAAAACCAGAAAGCACTAAAGTTAAAAGCTCTTTGGAATTTTAGGCTATGGGGGAAAATCTAAGAGTTTAAAGGGTTTTCTTTCTCTGACATTCATTTATGAGATAATATTTAATTTATGCATAGGCAGAACAAAATAAGGAATTATCGGGCATACAGTCAAGGACTTAGAACTTGAATCCTGTAGGTTAATCCTAGACTTGAGCAATATGCTATCAATTTTCAAGAACATAAGAAAGATGTTGCTGTGTTGCTAGCTATAAGTCATTCTAAATACTGCATTTAATTATTTAAATAAACGTTTTTAATATTTCCAAAAATGTACTGTATATATAGAAATTATATATGCATATAACAGGAAATTTAAAAAATATAAAAGTAAACAGTATAAAGTAAACATCCATACTCAGGCAATTCTTTTTAGTTTGTCTTACTTTTCAGTCTTTTTCCAAGCATATTTTCACATGATTCACGTTTTGCATACCCATAACTATTATTGATTTTTTTTCCCACTGAGATCTTAGAATTTGTTTCTTCCTTTTTAAAAATCATTTTATTAAGCGCTCATACAGCTCTTATCATAATCCATCCATCCATCCATTGTGTCAAACACATTTGTATATATGTTGCCATCATCATTTTCAAAACATTTTCTTTTTCCTTGAGCCCTTGGCATCAGCTCATTCCCCCCCCTCCCTCACCCAACTTCCCTTATGAATCCTGTAGTCAGGGTGCAGTATAGCACCAATGAAACATACAACTTTCTTCTGGTTCTTTAATGGTTCTTCCCCCCACTATCATGACCCCAATCCTACCTTACAAATCTGGCTAGACCAGAGTATGTACATTGGTATAGATAAGAGCTGGAAACACAGGGAATCCAGGACAGATAAACCCCTCAGGACCAATGAGAGTAGTGATACCAGGAGGGTAAGGGGAAGGTTGGGAGGGAAAGGGGGAACTGATCACAATTATCTACATATAACTCCTCCCAGGGGGACGGACAACAGAATAGTGGGTGATGGGAAACATCGGTCAGTGTAAATAAACTTTTAAAAATGTGTGTCAATCCAAATATTTCTGATAAACTCAAATTCGAATAACTTTTGCTTTTGTATACTAATATAATTAAATATGTATTATATTAATATATAACATATATTATATAGTATATATAACTCGTGGGACTTATTTCTTGCTTTCTTTAGATTCTACATAGTACAAAATACTTTCTTCCCAGACATTATTTGAGAGAAAAACAAAATGCTACAACAAAATATTAGGGAATGAACGTATCTTCATCTACATTTGGCCTAAGATGGCACAGGAAATCTCTACCAATGGATGTAGAGCCGCCCTGTGGTGCTGTTAGATGCTGTCTGGCTGACGCCAAGTGTGCGCAACCGTCTGTCCGTCCAAGGACGGTGCTCGCCACGGTTTTCAAACGATGGCTACAGGAGCAGATCTCCAGGAGGAAGCAGTTTGCGATGGATTCCAACTGCCAACTTTGGGGCCATTAGTTTGTCCCAGAAATGTCACAAACATATAGTACAATATCGGGGCTCACCGTTGGAAAAGAACCCTTCCTAAAATTCTGCCAGCTGTCGCCCACGACCGTAAGACAACACATACAACACTGATGAATGGATTTGAACACGGCACGTTAAAGACGCGTACAGGTCCCTGTTTGGGGAAAATTTGCGTCACTTACATTAGTGACCATTGTTCCTAATGAGAGAAATCAGAAGAAGATTCTCACTTTGAAAGGAAAGAAACAAAAGTGTGTGTGTGTGTGTGTGTGTGTGTGTGTGTGTGTGTGAATTGCTTCTCATTTATTTTTCTGCAAGCCATTAAAGAGGGAGCATGCAGAGCCCAACAGCCAGAGCGGCACCAAGCCCCGCTCCGGGACGTGTACTCACTGGGCATCACCGTGTCTCTGGACGCTCTCTGCCGTCAGTCCGGGCGGACTCACCGGGACCCCGGGGGTTTCTGAGGAGGGCATTGTTGATGGGAGTCGAAAGCCCTGTCTTCCTCCCACAGAGATGCTAGAGGGTTTGAAATGCCAACCCTTCAGCTGGCAGCCCGACACTTAATCACTACACCACCAGGGCTTCCAGGTAGACGCTCTGTTAGTGTTATCCTATGATTTTTGTATTAGTGACAAAGAACCCGGGCGGTGCGGTGGTTAAAGAGGTTGGCTGTTAGCTGAAAGGTCAGTACGTCCAGCGGGAAAAAGGAGTGGCAGTCTGCTTCTCTAAAAATCTACTGCCTTGGAAATCCTCCAGGCATGGTGCCCTCCAGGATCACTGTGATGCCGCAAAGGTGGGTTTGTTTGTTTTTTTTTATATTTGGGAGCTATTCTATGGAGAAAGATAAGGCTTTCTACTCCCATAAAGACGGACAGTTCGGCTAAATAAAGGCATGTACATATGTAAATATATTTATACATGAGGATGGGGAAATAGATTTATGTGCATATATTTATAGGTTTAGTATTAAGGTGGCAGATGGGCATTGGGCCTCCATTCAAGTACTCCCTCAATGCAAGAATAGTTTGTTCTATGAAACTGGCATTCCATGATGCTCACCTTCCCAACACAATCGCTGAAGACAAAGCAGGTGCATAAGCAAATGTGGTGAAGAAAGCTGATGGTGTGTGGCTATCAAAAGATATAGCATCTGGGGTCCTAAAGGCTTGAAGGTAAACAAGCGGACATCTAGCTGAGAAGCAACAAAGCCCACATGGAAGAAGCACACCAGCCTATGCGATCACGAGGTGTCGAAGGGATCAGGTATCAGGCATCATCAGAACAAAAAAAATCATATCATTGTGAATGAGGGGGAGTGCAGAGTGGGGACCCAAAGCCTATCTGTAGGCAACTGGACATCCCCTTACGGAAGGGTCGCGGGGAGACCAGCCAGTCAGGATGCAGTGTAGCAACGATGAAACATACAACTTTCCTCTAGTTCCTAAATGCTTCACTATCATGATCTTAATTTTACCTTACAAATTTGGCTAGACCAGAGGATGATGTACACTGGTACAGATAGGAACTAGAAACACAGGGAATCCAGGACGGATGATCCCTTCAGGACCAGTGGTGAGAGTGGCGATACTGGGAGGGTGGGGGGAAGGTGGGGTGGAAAGGGGAAACCAATCACAAGGATCTACATATAACTTCCTCCCTGGGGGACAGACAGCAGAAAAGTGGGGTGAAGGGAGACATCAGACAATGTAAGATATGACAAAATAATAATTTATAAATTATCAAGGGTTCATGAGGGAGGGGGAACGGGGAGGGAGGCAGACAAATGAGGAGCTGATGCCAGGGGCTTAAGTGGAGAGCAAATGTTTTAAGAATGATGAGGGTAACGAATGTACAAATATGCTTTATACAATTGATGTATGTATGGATTGTGATGAGTTGTATGAGTCCCCAATAAAATGATTGAAAAAAAAAGAAGTAGTGCTCAAGAGATCACAGGACACATTGCTGTGGGTTAATATGCTGCACAAGACCTCTTCAGAGTATTGAAAAGCAAGAGTTGTCACTTTGAGGGCTAAGTTGAACCTGACCCAAACCATAATCATTTCAACTAGGGACACTGGGTGATGCAAGATATGAAAATAATAACAATTAATAATTTATCATGGGTCCATGAGGGTAGGAGGGTAGGGGAGGGAGGCTAAAATAAGGGCTCAAGCAAAAAGAAATGTTTTGAAGATTATGATGGCAACATATGTATAAATGTGTTTGATACAATTGATGTATGGATTATTATAAGGGCTGTAATAGTCCCAATAAAATGATTTATTTTTAAAAAAATACTGACAGCTCGGAAACCCAAAGGGGCAATTTTACTAGAGAGTGAATCCACTCAATGGCAGTGGTTTTTACCCGGAGTCTGGGAAGGCTAAATAAATAAATACATACATACATAAATTTTTTTCCTCCTATAAATGACTGCTAGCTGTGTCTTTGGTTTATTCTGAAGCCAAAAGCTTTCATAGGAACCTCTAATTTTAAATAAGGGCGGGGTGAGAGGTGTGCGAACGTGGGAAGTGTAAGAAGTGCCGGTGGGGGCCAGTCCTTCAAAGTTTCCAAGTGGAATCTTGAGGAAGGCCCGCCTTGATGTGAGAAACGACTTGGAGACCACAAACTACATGTCCCAGCATACCTTGCGGCTTGCAGACGGATTTGTCCTCTGACTCAGCTTTCCCTTCACGCTGGGGCTTGTAGTTCTTCCTGGTGGCGTCAGGCGGTCCGGCGAGGTTGCTGGTTGCCGGTCTAGTCTGAGGATATTAGGCGTAGTCCTCCAGCTTTGTCGAGGGGAAACACCTGGCCACGCTCGATTCTTTGTCTCACTCCTCAGGCTCTGCTTTACACCAGGTAAGTCACGCGGGGGCTGCAGCTCTCCGCGGCAGGGTCCTCCTCGTTCCCTCTGGGAGCGACCTCGTTCTGGTGAATGTATTTGTCCCCGCGCTCTCGCCGTAGCAGCCGCCGCCCATCCCTCTTTGTGTGTATCGGGAAGCCTCGGCGCTGGTGGCGGCGACAGTTGGCATTAAGATCGAAGGCGAACGACGTGCCCGGGAAGTTGCAGGCGGGCGGACTCTCCCCCATCCAAAAACCTTACAGGTGGGTTGATTGTACCCCTCAAACCTGCTGTGTCCCACGTTGGGGCTCGAAGGGCGGCTGCAGTTCCCACTGACCAGCGCCGGCGGGTCCGGTTCCGGGAGGAGAGGCGGGCAGAGCTGGGTGCGGTGACTCCGGCGGCCGGGGGAGGGGAGCCCACTCTCCCTCTCAGGGCCTCAGTGGGCGGCCAGGGGAGTAGAGCCTTGTCCGGCACCGCTGGCACTGTCCCTCAGACGCCCGGGCACGGACCGCACCGTCTTGGCCTTGACCCCAGGGGAGACAGTGGCTCCCCGTCACCTTGTTGTGTTCTACCAGTAAAATCGTTATTACCATCCTTGACAGCGTTCGCCTCACCTTGATGGTGTTGAAATGCCCCCTAAAGTAGAAGTTCTTGCCCCAAACTCCAGAGACTTTTTTCTTTCCCGTCGTTTTAAGATAGTGCACATGTCATTCTGGAAGGGTTCAGCCCCTCAAGATGAGCCATCAGGCAGCTATAGTTCAGCCGGAGGAGTTTTGTGGTTGGGTTTTGCAAACACTAAACTTCCTTTAACCAGTATCAGTGGATATTGGCATGTTTTACAATCGACACAGAACCAAACATTACCATACATAACCTAGAGTTATGTATGCAGTTCTCTCTGATTGTTGTTAATGTGAAGCTTTGGGAGACCTGGAAGAGGCTGCTTGTAACTTTTTGAACTGTTTCTGTTTCTTGAACTTTTTGTGAATTGGGTGAAGGTTTACAGAGCAGACTTTGCATTCAATTCATCTACAGTTGTTTATGTTCAACAATTTCATATACATTTCAGCATGCTCTTGTTCCTGGTGTATTATGTCAAATCTTGGTAGATACTATGCATATACTTAAAGTATCTGCCTACTAGCTCTTTACGTGTTTTTAAAATTACCAACATATACACACGAATCTTTTGGCAGTCTTGCCACAGAAATTGCCTGTGTGCGTTTTATTACTAGATGAATCCCCCCACTAACTTTATTCAAATTAAATAATTATGGTTTATTCAAATTGGATAATTAGTTTAAAGAGATTCCCCTTTAACTACAATTTTCCAGATATTATTGTTTATTAATGAAAAGTATTAATACAGAAATTTTTCATATGTAGACATTAAGAAATGAATTACTGTATAATATGTTGATAATCTAGATATGCTGATAGTTTTTAGGCTTCTTATTTATGCTTAGCCCATAGACTGCTGTGTTTTTTTAATTGAAATTTTAAAACATTTTGTTATTCCTTCCTAAAACTGAGGCTAAAGTAATCTTTACGTAATTATTTTTGACACTTGGTTTGTAATGTTCTCTCTCTAACCATTGTTCATTTAGCCATTTTCAGTCACGTTAAATGTTTCAGGCACTGAGTGCTATGAAGGCAATAAGAATGAACTAAAAAGTTCCTTTTTTCAAGATGATCACTGTCTAGCAGAAAATTTAACAAATAATTGGACTACAAGTGAGAGGTTTAGGTATGGTGTCACTATGGAGAAGGAAACTCATTTGATTTCATAGTTAATAATGATGTCTTTTATGCTTTGCATGCTCTGATATTACCTGTCACTTTAGGAATTTATAGGAATTTTTCTGTTTGGCTTGCTTTTCTCAAAACTGTTAGGAATGAGTACAAGACTCTGGGAAGAGTTTTGATCTGTGTCCTATAACTTAAGTTCTTTAACATCAACCATGTCCTCTGTATGAAGAGCTAGAGTTGACCTTTGTCTCCAGTGCCCTAATAAGAGGGTAAATCAAAAGGTAGTACTATAAAATTTTAGGACCCTTTGTTAAATAGAAATATCAAAATGTTTCTTGACTTTCCTTGTATCTAAGTATGTACATTTCTGAAAGTAATGTTTCATCTCTGTAACCTTTCCTATGCTCTTAAATGCAACTTTAAGGAGCCCTGGCGGTGTATTAGTCTAGGTACTTAGGAGAAACAAATCCACAGCGACTCATATATAAGAGAGTTTTATGTAAAGGAAAG